ACAGGGGGGGGGATGGATTGCAGCATTGGATAGAGCATGTAGAGATGCATCTGGAACAAAAGTAGCAGTTTTAAAACTGCTGTTGTAGCGAATATCAGATGGAAATACTTGAATCTTTTGATAACTTCGTCTACGTGTTGATGTGTCAAGACTTCACAAATAGATCAACAGGTCATGACTTTCGAAAAAATGCTACCTCGCTACAGAAATTTTTAATTTTAAGATCAGGGAGGATTGCCTGACGAATCACTGGCAAGAAAAGATGGTATGAGTAGATATAAGTTTTCCTTATTTAAAATCATTGCCGTCTTTTAAATGCGCTAAAATGTTAAATTAATCAAGAAAGGCTAAACTGTCGTCGTACCAAAACAACATTGTATTAGCCGTATCACTCATATAAACAAGAAATCCAGAATCCCATTGTTTACACACGAGTATGGTTTTGAGTGTATATAAACATGCCTCTAGTGAAACAGAAGTTTTGTTCAAAAGCAGCAGCCTATTTGTCGCGTCCGAGGCATCCAGATAATAATAGGATTCAATAGATAAGCAAACTTTGCATGTAGATAGAAATTCTATTTCATTAAATAAAAAAATGAAGTTTCCTTAGATCTAAATTATCACTCTCATCGTCTCAATAGACTGCACTGGCATTATCGTCTTGTACCATGCATCTATTAATCTTTTGAGAGGTTCACTGAGTCTTCAGGATAAACAGTTAAGTATACAATAGAAGAAAGAAAACATGCTTTTGTTTAACTGCTTAACAGTTTGCTGTTGTTATGTTTGTTAAGTGAGATATGTTGTTTCTTATTTTTTCAATCGAGTTCCTGAATGTGTTAAATAGAACATAGTTGGGCAGTCTGCGATAACTGTTTTTTTATATCAGGTAAAGTTGATTCAGATTATTTATGAAAAAAGCTAGTAAAGAAAGCATCATATTCATTTTAGAAGCATGCAACAGTAGTACGAACAAATAAAATAAAAACAAGTGAAATACCACAGAAAAATTCAATTGCAAGTTAAAAATGAAGTAAAATGATGAGAATAATCAGTTTTGAAAATAGATAAAACAAAGATGGACGAGAAAAAATAATGCTACTTTTCAAAAAGGTAAAATATATACTAGATCAGGGTTAAGTACTAAACAAATGAAAACGCAAAGATGAATGTCTAGGCCATGAAAAACTAAAAATGTGACTTGTACAATACACTCAAAAAAGAAAAAAGTTTTTTTGCACTTGAAGAAACCTCTAGGTACAACCAAACGCTACAAAAAAATAATGTTTAATTGTGCCGAGCTGTTTAAAGTATCTCCCCATGTGCCCAAGCGAGGAAATTTTCGAGTTTCGTATAAAACAAGTGCCGGTTTCGTAAAAGACTTATCTTTTAGAGTATATAGGGTTCGCATATATACGTATTTATGATATTGACCTAGAACTACATCGGTATTTATGAAATGTTGTGCATGCTTCAAAGGCGACACTATTTTTTTGCGTTTCTCAAGATGTATGATTTGTTGTTGTTTTTCTCGATGCTAGCTTTTCGTGTAAGATCAACAGATTAGAGCCTGTTCCATCGTCTCTTTTAGCTTATTCAAAATTTGTTTAGCTTGACGCTTTTCTATTACGTCTAATTGCCATTGATTACCTAGTTTATGACGTCCTCCATCATTTAATATTGCTAACAGCTTTTTCGACTGATCAGACTTTTTTAAGAACTCGACGAAAAAATGCACGTTCTCTTCATCGCGAAAGGCTTTCTCGATTACGTCACACCAATAATTAACCGTATCAGAATACCAAGCTCGTTGATCCCCATCAAGTAAAACTTTTGTCAGAAGCTCTTCCCATGTATCTACTCCGAATTCTTTATTGAGTTTTTCTCTGCCGATTTCGAATATTTTTAAGGTCCATGTAACATAGGGATATGCATGCGGATTATTGACAGAGTTTAAGGGTGGATTCCAGCTTGTAGCTAAAGACCAAAGACAAGAGGACCATTTATCATGGCGTCGTTCATAAAGGTTAACACAACTGCAAATCAAAAAGTGCTGATCGATTTGTATAATAGGCACTGGAATATTATTATTATTATTGCCAAAATCTGTTGTATAGGAATTATATTCATTCACATCGTTTAGTATTACAAAAAATGCAGGCCATAAACTAAAGTTTTTAATGGACCCACACAAAATCCTCAAAAGGTTAAGAAAGTCAAACTTAGATTTGCCTATTTCTTTTAGAAGATCTTTCGTTTCTATTTGTTTTTGGTACCTGATATCAGCGCAAAGTATATTGTATTGTCGTTCATATAGTTGCTCACATGCATCATGTTCTCGTACGACTACTTCTTTCGCAAAATTCGTTCCACTAATATGAAAGTGCTGTAAAAACTGTGTTTTGGGGTTTTCACTCGTACCTTCAATGGTGAAACCGAAATTTAACGGTAAAAACGGAATAACAAGGTAACGAAAATCTACGTGACGCGTCTTGATCGCGAAGCCTTTTTTATGGATGTGTTTTGCAATAAAGTGAATACAAGAAGTTACGACACTAGAGTGAGGACAGATCGCATAAAGTAATACAGATTCAATTTCGTCTTCCGTCGCATCCGTACGCATACTAGGCTTATTATTGATGAATATTTTCCCACTTTTTAAAAACGGAAAAACTAGGTCTTTTTTAGTGTTTGTATAAAGAAAAACCTTGTTTACTTCACTACTCGGATCCCTAAGAAGTGTGTCGATTTCCTGAAGATTCTCGATTATTTCATTATTATTTTCGTCGATGCTTGAAAGAAAACTAAATATTATGATATTCTTGATACGTTTGTTCATGAATTCCTTTATATTTTGCAGTAAGAGAGTTGGTTTACTTTTCCTATTATTAGGTACCTCCGAACAAAATAAATAGTATTCGCTATCGACTTCCACTTCCATATAGGCACCTCTATTAGGTGTGTCTGTCATTAAATACGAATGTACTTTTTTGCATACTTCATAGATCTTTAAACAGCCTTCCTGAGTGAATATTTCTTTGTAACGGTGTTTACATTCAGAGGGAGGTGGAAACAAATTTTCATAGTCTTCCTTAAACTCCTTATAAGGGCGAGCGCGCATCAAATAAAAAAATGCGACTAAAAGACGCATCATAATTTTATCATAATCTGTTATGGGACCCTCAACGTTTGACTCACTATGTATATTTCTATAATACTGTAAGAATACGGATGGCCTATCATTGACAGACGCTTGACTTTTGAAAAGCATATCAAGTAGAGTTGGATGCACAATTATATCTGTAGGAAAGTAGCATTCATCTTTGTTATAATGTGATGTATTTTGGTTGACCCAGTTCACTCTTTCTATGGGCTTACTATGAGCAAATCTAGAATTAAATGAGGTTTGAATCATACGATCTAAGTGTTCTTCTTTTGAAATGAAACGAGTAACGATTGCGCGACAATATTCAGCAGCTAATGAATGATGCGAATAATGCCCAAGATCACACCTATCGATTGGCAATATTCCATCGTTGTCAGTTGACAGTACGACAGGAACTTCTATATCGTATAAATTAGATAAAGGTTTTTCTTTCTTTACATTTCTGATTGCACCTCCCAAAAGATAAAAGTTACTTGTTATATTTACTTCAAAGGGAATTTCGGAGAAAACTGACTTAGCATCTCTTTTCATTTGTGCCACAAGTACGCTAGACTTTCGAAATTTATAGTTTTTGATGCTTAATAGTTTATCAAAAGCAATACCATGGCCCACGCGAATGTTTGTCTGCAGTTTCCTTTTTAAAAAGTCAATGCAACGGTAAAGAATATACATATGCGCTGCAAATAAACGATAGCCTGGCAAATCTGGTCGAATAAAAGGTGCGTTTTCTGCGGCATGTATACGCACGCCAAAAGTTCGATTATGCTTCCGAGCATCTCTAACAAACTCTATGAACTCATGCGCCACAAAAGGGCAACAGGGATGCCCAAGCTCGTCACCAAGCGCATCTAAACCTACAACCAAGTCCAAAAATTTAGGATTTGTATCCTTTTGCGTTTTCATTGCCTTCAACTGCTGTACTTGCTTACGGAATAAAAGAGTTGGCTTTTGATTGTCAGTTAAGTAGAACTCCTTGAATAGTGCGTGAATAACAAAGTGAGGTGCTTCGAATAAAAATGGAATCGCTTCATCAGGAGTATAAGAGTCATTAATCGGCTCAATTTGACGGTTGAAACCAGCCAAAAAACGATAATCAACCTTTAGTTCAGAAGTTGACGCTTTGAGCCATGGAAAACAATTCTTATCTATCAGAGATTTAAATGAACCATGCAACTCTTCTCTAATACAAAATGTCGATAGAACATCCAACATCCAAGGACGGGTTAAATCGCCACATCCAACTGAAAATTCACAATATTTCACCGGCGGCACACATGTTGAATAACGATGTAGTACATGTTGTAAGAGATACACTAATAAATCCAGTCGCTGAGTATATAATGAGTCCTTTAAAGCAAATCGCCTAGGATAAAATTCTGGTGTAAATGCGCCACGAAATGAATGAAAGTCTACTGAACGTGGTTCTGTACCATCGCTATTCATCATCGAAAACGCATTTATGATGTGTGCACGAGCATCACGTTTAGCTGTGTTACCTAGCTTGTCAATGGACTTGGTTTCTCCAATAAGCATTCGTAGATCTGCAGCTTGCATCCCATATATAATCTCTAGTTTTTGTTCTCTTGCATTAAATATGATCCAATATTTGAAGAAAAAATGATGATTCCAATCACTTCTTGTATAAATACCCAGTTTTTCTTCGATTACACATTGAAGCATATCTCTGGGCTGATTTTGTTTCAATCCTAGTCCTTTTACCATGTTTTCCAATGAAAAAACAACATCATAAGAAAAGTTCTCCTTGTATGTAAGCTTGTGATGATCCTTCTTTTTTTCAAACTCTTCCGATATCAAATCACAAAAGGGCTTCATATCCTTATATTCAGGTAATAATGAGTCATGTGAACTGAGATAGCCAAAGAAATTGAAAACCTGTTCTGAACCGATGAACTGCTGTATGCTATCGTTCCATATTAAAGGTCCTAAGTCACGCCTGAGACTACTTTGATTCTTTTTCATAAAATGATCTTGAGTCGGTAATATCCTTCGATCAGTTAAAATTGTATCCACCCAAAATGAAGCATTACCCATTCCTAGAAGATGTGTGTGTAATTCACATAAGCCTTCCTTTTTCTGCAGGCTCTTGAGTAAATTTGCAGTATTCCATTCCTGTTCATCGGCTGAATCTAAAGGACAAATTAGTGTATCAGTCTTTTTGCCCAAAAATCTCCGAATGAATTACCTTTGCGTTTTCGCTTTCGGCACTGTATTGTAGCCATTAATGAAGTTTCTATCGAGAAACTTAAAATAAAAATCTAAAATAGTAATGCTTGTATGTTGAAGTCGTTTATTTGTCTTCTATAGTTCATATTATCACCGTAATTTTTAAACAAACTCGTCTGCCAATAGATTCTATTTATTGTAGCATATAGAGATGTAGAAATAATATCAACTATTGTTTAGAAATGTACCTAGTGTAGCTGAGAGTGTGGGTGTATGCGTATGTGCATTTGTTTAGAAGCAGTCACACATCATCCACCAATGCTCCACACACCATACTCCACACCGGCACCCACATCCACATCTACACCCATACGAAACAATAAAAATAGGTCTAGCAATAGGAAAAACTAGGCAAGCATACAGCTTGGTAACGAGTGCTACGAAGAAAACTTAACCCTAGGCAAAGGGCGGCACTAGATAGCAATGGAAAAATTCTACAGTTTCTGGAACAGATTACTCAATAATGGACGAAGTACTACAGTAACTTGTATAAAAGCAATGGGACAAAAGGCAACATGGTAAGCAATCTGAAACAGATTACACCTGATAATGGAGAGAAGTCATAAAACATCCTCTACTATGAAGTGGAAGGAGCTGTATGGACATCGAAAGGGTGTGGGCGTGCAGAAAAACGACACCCACACCCTTAGATACTCGTAAGAAGTTTATGCGCCTCCTACTCTAAAAATTCTAAAGTTCGAAAAACGGCCTTTGAAGGACCTTTCCAAATATTTTTGAATAGGGGTCTACTAAGTTTTGAGAATCAGTATACCCCATGCTCAAAGATCAGAATATGGAATAGCATACTGTGAACTGCACGAAAACTTCGTCCCAATCAGGCTATCGTGCGGTGGAATCCGGGTAATTAGTCCATGCTGATAGGCAACAACGGCACACTTTAAGTAGTTTTCTAACTTCTTTAGAATAGCCATCGAAAATAGAAGGAGAAAGATAAGTAGGTCTGAACAATTGGCGTCTCCCAATCTAGAGTAATTTACATATGTTTATCTTGAAAAGTGTGTTGTGGGAAAAGGGCCCTGAAAAGGCCTTGCAAAGACTTTTGAAAGGTCTCATGAACGTCTTTGAAAGCCCCTGGAGAGTCCTTTGAAAGGCCTTCGAAAAACCTTTCGGAATACGTTCAAAGAAGCTCCTACTAAGTTCTGAGAATTAGCATAGCTTCATATTTAGCGACCAGGATATACAATAACACATTGAGCTGCACGAAAGCTTCACCCGAAGTAGACTATCCTGCGGCAAAAACGAGATGGTCAGTCGATACTCCTACGCATCAAGGGAGGCTTTAAATGATTTTTTTCCTATTTATACAAGTAATCGATAATTGAAGTAGAGAAAGAACTACGTGGAAACACGTAGCGTGTTCCAATCTATTGATGCAGTTTATGTACGTCCATCTTGTAGCAATGTGTTGTCGAAAAGTACCCTGAAAAAGCTCCTGAGAGGCCTTTTACAATATTTCTGGATAGGAACGCACTAAGTTCTGAGAATCAGCGGAGCTTCATGCTTAGCAAGCAGAATATGAAATAGCATATTAAGCTGCATGAAAACTTCGGCCCAATTAGACGATTTCAAAGTGGAATCAATGTGAGGGTGTGGGTGTGGGAAAAGAACAAGTTATACTCATCGCCGTCGCCATATCGACCCACACCCACACCCGACTGGGTCAACAGACAACACGGATTAGACATGGCTGGGCTCAAGGACATTTCAGACTAGTCATGTCGGCAGTCTCCCTTCATTTTTTGCTTACTTGGGGACTTTCTAAACGGCCAAAAAATGGATTCCCATACCTCGGCATCCATAAATGTCATAATATTGTTACCAAGAATGCACAGGCTTAAAATGGAGAGTACCTTCGACATCGTGGAAGGTATATTCAGTTCATTATGCCGATCAAAGCTGCGCTATCTAATACTATTTTCTTCCCCATAAGTACAACTGAGATAGCAGTCTAAGTTCTGTCTCACACTTGGTTAACGTAACAATCACCTCCATGTATCTGAATAAGTTATTTATTCTAAAACTTTAGGAATTTGATTGAGTTTGGTTAGGGATGTGCAGTGTCGGTGTACTGACCACTGACTTGCACCGACGGTGTGTCAAGTGAAGCACTGACTACACCGACGGTGTGCGCAGTGGAACAGCGCTCACACTGTTATCAATGTCACGGAAACGCTGAAGATAGAGATACTGACGGCGCCGACATTGGTGTTCAGTGAAACACTGATCCACCGATATCTTTCTGATTGATTAAAGGCTTCAGTCAATAAAATGTTGTCTGTGTATCAGTGTATGAGCGATCACCAATGCTTCAGTGAAGTCGGTGCCAGTGACACTGATTACAGTGTGACCGGTATTTCACTGGGCACGCCATCAGTGTAATCGGTGTATCACTGAGCACACTGTCGGTGTAGTCGGTGATCAGGTTTTCAGTATTTACACCGACACTGCACATCCCTAAGTTTGGTAGAACTACTGTTCGGTATTTGATTATATTTGATGGACTCTGCAAGTCGTTGCACCATATTGGATACTATTCTAATACCAATTAAGAAAAAGTCGTTGCCAAGTGTAATGGATTCACTTATTCGATTGATATTTGATCGCAGTTTATCATCAAGTTAATCATTCTAAAACTGGACTCATCGTCAAATCATTTTTTACCTCCTTTTATTAAAAATCATACCGTTATTAAACACATTCAGACAAAATATCTCAAACAGATTGTTTGCTTCTGGTTGGTTCGTAAGTACTTCAGCACAAGAATCTCTTTTCCTTTTGTGAAACTCACATATTTTTTCGAAGAAAAATAGTGAGTGTACGCTTTATGTCGAGGTTTTTGCGCCCTCCCCCTCCCCGCCCCCGCCCTATTACAAACACATAGTAACGGGAAACAGGACATTACAGGCATGTCCCCCATTACAGACATGAATAATTTAATAATAAAAAAACAACTATATTATGCTACTAAAGTATGAAATGTCTTAAAGCTTTTGAATAAACTTGAATATCTAAAGTTCTTTCTTACGTAACTTTGTCTATCGGTATATAATTTTAATAAACAATCGATGTTAAGAATAGTCACAAATGCCAGAGAAATCAATGATTAAAAAAATAAAGTAAAAATACGAATAATGAGATGTGAAAAAGAAAAGCAGCCCGGTTAGCAGCAGTAAAAATAACAAAATCAGGACACCATTGAAAATAATCTTAAAATTATTTAGAAAATATAGAAATTCGACAGCTTATTGCTCTATAAGTTGATTATTTGCACAACAGCGATAGCCTATCAGAGATTTTTCAATTCATATATCTGTTTTGTTTATTATGATGAGCTGATGAATAATCCTCATTTCTTTCATATGAATGCATATCAATTAGAAAGAACAGTCTTTTTTACTATATATACGTTATGATGGTCACTTTGTTTATCTCCAATCTAAGACATGGTCAACTATATGAAACATTAAGAAGTATTGTCTACTATTTTATACAGCATGTGTCAGTTCCACATTTCAGCTCCAAAAGAGCTCGCTAACAAGCATCTTATTTCTATGCTGTCATATCTGAGATGGAATTTATTACCATATGTCCGTATCACAGGAGAGTTTTCAAAATATCATGTAAATCATGCTGAAATGAAAATGCCGTTTCTCTTACAAAGTGAGCAATAACACTTTTGTTAATCGTAATAAAATGGTAATAAAGGCTTGTAAAGAGTGGAGGTTGAGGATAAAGTATACACCAGTTTAACATATATTGACGCTACATATACCTTATCTATACATGATTGTCTCAATCATTTTTACATTGATCTCATGTTAGAAAAGCATATCAGTATGTACAGAGGATGACAAAATTATACAACTCCCTGCACTCAATGTAAGAAAGGACCCCGTCGGATAAAAAGCTTTTCAAGAGTCGATTTCATTTTTATATCGTATTGTAGAGCTCTTCGAGATACATCAAATGGTATATAGGAAGTCAAGTCTTCATAAAGGTTGTGTCTAGTTATAGTCGATATACTATATATACTGGCGTAGAGACATGCATGATACTAATAGACAATGCACACTCGTATGATCATCTCTAAAGAGTGTATACAGGTTTAGTTTTATAATTCAGTTTGATACAATTATGAATGATGCTCAATTTTTTATAATTGATAGTTTTCNATGAAAACATTAATTTTAAAATTAATGTTAATGTTTTTCATTAATCATTAATATTAATGAATTAAGTTTTTCTCAGAAAACATTAATATAAAATTAATGGTAATGGTCCACCCCTAGTACAAGGTGTGAGTTATAAATAGTAGACATATAATTTTTGACAGTTCTTTTACAAAACTCAATTTCAATCAGGCATAGTACCTTTACTGTTAAAGCCCTGTAAGAATTTACCAATAGATCCACTTTATTTTAAAAAAACAAATTTTTCGCTTTCCTGCACTCCCCACCAGGATCGTAAAAGTGAAATTGGTTTTTCGACTTCAGAAGGATCTATTGACTTCAAATTGTTGACGAATGCTTGCTGATTATAGGTGCATAAAAATTTTCAGAGCTTATGCTGCACATTGTTGGAATATTGCCTATGTATTCGGACCTCTATATGACAAAATAGTCGATTCTTTACCTGTGTTTTCAAGATTACTAACGAGTCCCTGTTGCTCGGAAAAACTTGGCCTATCAAATATATAGAGCTCAGTGGCAGACAGCTTTTAGGAAAGTTTCGCGTTGTTACCACATTGTTCTACTGCACAGGACTGAAAACACTAAAGTGCATTTTGGTGAATATATCTCATTCATCAATAGAAGATGACTCTTTTCAGTAGCAAAGCAGTAGTGATGAAAACTATCAATTATAAAAAATTGAGCATCATTCATAATTGTATCAAACTGAATTATAAAACTAAACCTGTATACACTCTTTAGAGATGATCATACGAGTGTACATTTTCTTTTAGTACCATGCATGTCTCTATGTCAGTATATATAGTATATCGACTATAACTACACGAAAACTTTATGAAAGCTCAACTTCCTATATACCATTTGATGTATCTGAACGAACTCTTCAACACTATATAAAAAGGATATCGATTCTAGAAAATATTTTTATCCGGTGGGGTCCTTTGCCATTCTCTCTATTTTATTAATGTTGACCTGTTACAATGTTTTTCCTCGTATATCTATATAAGCGGGCATGCCATTACAACATCTTTGCAATCCTTCAGAAACCTTTCCTCAACAGTTCGATTACTCTGAAATAGGCGAGAGTAGCTTAGACTGAAAATAGTACGATGTTTGAGTGAACATGGCAGGGTGAGTCGATTTACGTGCCTTTCAGTTCTTTCCTAAGACTTCACTTATTTATATTAAGTTTTGTTTTTTTTCTCATAAATTAGAACAGAAAAAAAGTTCCGCTGAAAAAATGACTTCAAAGTGTAGGCATCTGTGATTTTGTTGTTATACGCAATTATAAAGAATTGACGATTGTGTGCTTGACTATAAATTGGATTTCCTATGCAGCATTTTATTTCAGCCTCAAGAAGGATTCTAGTTACTAAGAACCAACTAATTATCAAATCTATGCTGAAAGCAGTCAATGTCAAAGTTCGAGGTGCATCCCATATTCAATAATCAAAACTTTTCAAGTTTTCATACTAATACCACTAGATTTTCTGTAATTTTTAACTCCTGTTTCTACAGACTCGACAAAACTATATGTACACCCATTTCCCATCTCAGATTTTTCGCACGCTACATAGCTTTAAGTAGGAAGAATCATGAGTAACGAAGTCTCGTAGTGAAAATTGTGAAACTGTGTTCTTGTTTGGAATGATAAAGCCATAACCTAGTACTAACCATTTGATCAATACGTAGGATATCTTGGTCCCAGATTCGAGTATTTCGTGGCACTATTCACCCCAAATACCTTTCCAAGCAGAACTCCACACGCTCTATGCGACGTAAGTGTTAAAATTCGAAAAAAATTTCCCGTCCCCCAAAAACCAAAAGTACCACCAAAAAAACTGAAAAAAAACGGTCAATTTTCGTACCAAGTGGCACGATCCGCCCAGCAGACCTTTCCAACATACTAACGTAACTTTCTAAATGGATCTCGACAAGCGCCATCGAATAGACTCCTTTAGAGCTCAATTCGATTCTCGAATTCCTTTGAAATCTGCAATTTACCTTGAGCACTACCGGTGTTTTCAGCTAAACATTAATTTAAAAAAACATTTTTTGTGGCAAATTATCGTTTTCGATAAATTTATCGCAAACAATAATTTGCCACAAAAAAATGTTTTTTTAAATTAATGTTAATGTGAACATGCCGGTAGTCCTCAAGGTAAATTGCAGATTTCCAAGGAATTCGAGAATCGAATTGAGCTCTAAAGAAGTCCATTCGATGGAGCTCGTCGAGATCTATTTAGAAAGTTACATTAGTATGTTGGAAAGATCTTCTGGACGAATCGTGCTACTTAGTACGAAAATGTACCGCGTTTTTTACATTTTTTTTGGCGGTGTTTTTGGTTTTTTGGGGACGCGAAAGTTTTTCAAATTTTAACACTTGCATCCTATAGAGCGTGTCGAGTTCTACTTGGAAAGGTCTTTGACTGAGTTGGAGAGGTGTTTGGGGCGAATGGTGCCACGAAATACTCGAATCTGGGAATAAGATATCCTACGTTTGATCGATATGATACACGTTTCTTTGATTTATGCCATATTACTTCATATTTTAGTAGCGAACCGTTCTATTCACATAATATCTTTGCATTTGAATAGTTTTTTTTGTATACGCACCTTACTCTTTGTGTCCCTGTATTTCTCCTATATCCTAAATAGATGGAATCCGGTTTTTGTTCCCATGGAACATCTTATTGTGCATCGATACGAAGTAACATTTATTAGAAGTGTTCACATATGAAAAATCTTCATATCGGATACCAACGACAAGTGTATGACTTAGTACCTACTGATATTCAAAATTGTTTTCAAGAAATCATTCAGATTCAGCTATACACTCAGTGTTCCTAATTAGGATAGAAAAAATCGCCTTTAGTTGCTCGAACTCGTTTAAAGCTAATTCACACTTGCATTAAAGTGTATTTATATTTGCATGATATACTAGTTCTTCTCTTAAAAATGATGCGTTTTGAGATTCTCTTATTCTTTTCAAGATATCAGCGGTCTACGAAAAAGGCCTACCACTGTCATTATCAGGATGACTTTCCGTAATTATGACAGTAAGCTATTTTTGCCCCTAATAACGACACATAAGCAAAATTGAAGCCAAAATACTGTCTGCCACAAGAAAATGCTTTTTTCACGACTTTGATAAGAGATAATGGGAAAGTGCCTTGTACAGTTTTGCAGAGCGTGCCGAGCTCTACGATAGCCTAAAGATTCGCGTAAAATTGATAACAACTTAAGTGAAATAAATTATCCTCAAGAAGAACGACTAAAATTGAGAAAAAAAAGTTGTCTTTAATTACAACACTCAGCTATTTTTGTCCCTAATTCTGACACAAGCTATTGTGACGATTTTTGATGGAAGATAGAAGCTTGATGATGTTATTCAGCTTTATTCGATTCTTCCTATCATCAATCGCATCATCTACATACAACGCACACGTTTATATACACATCCAGAAAAGGGAGAAGGGAGAAAGCATACAACACATAAGTTTGCACTTAAAAGAGCGTTGTAAGCAATAAGAATGTTGAAGCAAATATCAAGGTAGGATTACACGTAATCTATTCGTCTTTGTCCTTATATCACTAAAAGGACATAGACACAATACGCTGATATCATCATAGCTATCTCTTAGGTTTTGATCAGAATTGTAACTAAATTTCGTGTTCAAATGTCACCGCAAACATATTTTGCATTTTTTCATGAGTAGCAGTCAAATCAAGGAGAGATGTCAAATTATCCAGAATTCGGATAACCATATCAAATATCCTCATTACACAGTAGATTTTAACAATTATCATTATCGTCGTGAAATCATCTCCTTACCCTGCTGTAACGAGGCTTATGTTTAAAGACACCTCAAAGGTTACATAAAATAAAAGAATTCACCGATACTCAAGATTTTACTGAAGAAATGAAACTTTTAGAATTAAACCATTTGTAAGCTTTGTAACGATTGTGCTTTCCATAGGTGTTGAACAATGATGATACAAACGGTATAAGTGCGAAATCTTTAACTAAGAGCTACCTATAGCAATGGCAATCATAGCAATTATGCGTAGAACTATGATTCTGGAAGGAGTTTTTCTCGATACATCTTTGAAACACCCCGAGCTCATAGCACACAGAAACTAATGAAAACAAAACAGGCATCAGCCGAATGTGTAGGACAAGTACGTAACATATAAAATGAAAAAGTCATCAGACGTATGAGAATTTCTCAGATGGCAATATCCCGAATCAGTCACGTTATCAACACAAGCATCCGCATGATGGTATGGGGAACAGTGGTCAGCAAATCGATAGCCGAGAAAATCGATCAGCAATCATGCTCATGGCAGGTTCGTAAGCGAATTTAGACAATAAAAATACACAATCAACGCAAGCATCTGTGTGAGGGCATGACTACAATCGATAACAAAATCTGTAGCCGAGATATGTTCTAGAGGTTCTCACTCGTACGCTGCTTCTCAAAATGAACACATCGTTACAAATAAACGTACTTGAACTAGGGTGTGAGTGTGAGTCTATTTCTGATCAAGAGCCACACACCCACATTCGCTTTTGCGTTCAGCTATCAAAATCAGCTGCACTCAAAACGAAGATACATTATAGATAGAGGCAAGACACTATCTTTTTAACAGACAACATATGATATACGTTGTTAAAGAAGACTAGAGAACGCAAGATATTCTTTATTCGTTCTGTACGTCATCTGCGAGATGATATGCAGGATTGAAAGGGTTAAGTTGCATGCATTTAGTTCCTACCTTGAAATCCGAGTTGCGACGATTTTCTAATAGAAGTGCTGCTAGCGCTTATGGAACTAAGCTATATTCTATATCTTCATATCAAGAGTCACCCTATATATATACGAATCCTACACGTATATTTGCAACCAAAAGAGAAAAATGATGAGAGTAAGAAACAGATGCGAAATAAATACATTCGCGGAAAGGACAAGAATAAACCAAGATGTCCCAAAAGAGTAGAAACAATATCATTACATGAGTATATCTATATTCGAACCATAAAACATATGTAATCAAAGATTTTCTGCTTCCCAAATTCTATCATAGGATTTTCCCAATAATATTGCCACGAAATCGTCATCGATGGCTTGTTTTCCTCTAATCAAAGAATAACCTTTTCCTTCTGTCAAAATATGTACTCGAAGCTTTCGCAGAATGTAATCATGCCTGTCATAGTCGAACCTATCTCTTTGATAGGTAGGAATTCTGACATTTTTCCATCGACAAGCCTACGAATATTGAAATTTGTTCTAGTGATAACTAACGGTAACTTCACAATGGTTGTAGAGAACAGATTTTTCTAAAATTACTTTTGAGCTCCTCCAAAATTTTTCAAAGCTCATATTAATAGAAGAACTGACCTTCCAAAAACTAATTGCACTGTAGTAAACTTACGAGCAGAATCTCATTCCCCTTTCTAGGCTAAAACTCCTAGCACTATCCACTAGTGGCAATTGTTAAATCTTATTATATGTTCACCAAAACAGTATATCCAATTTCCCTATGATAGGAACAAAATTTAACGTTTCAAAATAAAACAGAGACGCTTCAAAAATGCGGAGCATTGTATTTTTGGAAAGTACCGACCCTTCCATCTGGTTGACGTATATTTTCTACCTTTTAGGGCTCTTTTTTACTATCTCGAAAAAGCGAAATTAATCTATGGAAACTACAAGCACTGATTCCTGTATTCAACATGCAACCGGCGCTCGACGAAGTGCCTTTCGCATTCTCATTTTGAGTCATCCGCGCTCGGGTTCTTCTTTACTTAGTTCTTATCTTATGTGCCATCCTCGAATTCTTTTACACGGCGAATTGCTGAATGATGAAAAACAAGTTTATTCAAAAAATATACCGACTCTCTTAGAAGAACTTGACAATTCGTTATCTGTCTGTTGCTCAGACAGCATCGAAGGCTTTAAACTTCACGTCTGTCAACTATTTGATCGAAATATAGAACCTTTATATCTCATTCGTCGCCTGAATATCAATTTTGTCATAGTCATGTGGCGACGAAGTTTATTAGATTCATTCGTTTCGTTGAAAATTGCTCAAAAAACAGACTGTTGGTATACAGAAACCGAAGAAAATATCAATCGTGGAATAAAAGTGTATGTTGATGAAACAAAATTCATCCAATACTGTCATAGATTGAAAAAACAATGGGAAACAATAGCTGAAGCGATCGGCACAAGTGTTCCGTATCATATAATTGAATATACAGACTTAACTAGAGCTCCAACTGATTCCTTAAAACCTATATTTTTTGCATGTGGTCTATCAGATATAACAGTCACGACTGCTATGAAGAAGCAAAATCCAAGTAACCCTGCTGACAGCATTATGAATTGGAATACATTAAATGAAAATTGCAAAACCGCTCAGCTTCAGGTTGATAAACTGTTCGATGATGTACGTTTTCGCCATAGTCTGAAGACACAGCCATGGTGGCCTGATATAGAACCAAAACCAAATTCAGGCACATGGACGTATCGAGTGGCTGTACCTTTCATTTCATACCATGCATTGTCCAACGTATTTAAATCATTGGTTTCACATTCGATTTCATCGGCCGCGTATCCAGTTGCAGAGATGGCTCATGAACTACGTCGTCTCTTCGATGTACCCGTCGCACAGCCGTGTGCAAACGGTTTTATTTCACTCTTGTTAGCGTTACAATCAGCACACATTGGAGAAGACTCTAATGATTGTGTCCTTGTTCCATCATTTACTATGATTGCTGTACCTAACGCAGTGCTTTATGCAGGAGCAACACCAATATTTGTTGATAACAGCTGTGATAAATATAATCCGGGTGTAGATGAATATGATGAAGCGGCTAGACTTGTTCCTGAAAATTACAAAATTAAAGCCATAATTGTTACACATACATATTCAATCCCTGCAGATATCGAACAGTTACATGATATGTGTGTAAAAAATAACTGGTTACTGATTGAGGACATTAGTGAAAGCATAGGTGTCACTATTAATGGGAAGTTACTTGGTACTTTCGGTTCGTATGCGTGTGCCAGTCTGTACGCGAATAAAATAATCACTGCAGGTGATGGGGGCTTCGTATTATCGAAGGATCCATCCGTAGCTACCCGGTTGGCGTCTATTGTGAATCATGGCTTCACGCCTAGCTATCATTTCGTTCATTTTGAGCCGTGTATAAATGGTAAAATTAATGGACTCGGAGCTGCACTTGTAACGCCGGCCATAAAACAAATATCTCAAGTGATCCATCATCGTAGCTGTATGGCTCAGTGGTATCGACAGGGATTGTGTGCGATCACTGAGTACATAAAATTTTCACCACGCGCAGGCGATGCTGATGGGCCGTGGGTTTTTGGTATTGAGTGCCAATCACGCATGGACCGTGATCGTTTGCGTCATTATTTAGCTTTTGAGCACGGGATTGAAACACGTAACTATTTTCCATCCCTCAATATACAAGCAGCTTTTGATAATTTACCTACATTTGCTCGTGCCACATGTCCACATGCGATGCGATTAGCTGAGATAGGTTTTTATTTACCTTCACATTACTGGCTTAGAGAGGATGACGTTTTCAATATTTGTCAAGCTATTATTGCGTTTTACAATAAAAGTAAAGACTGGAAAATGCCCACGAATAACACATTATCGATTTCATCACCTATTACATTAATAGTGAACAATTGCACGGGTCTGTTTGAGTCATTTGGAGGAAGTACTGTAAAAGATAGGCAAGTCCTCGTTGATGCTGTTCGTGCGATTGATTGTATTCACAAATTTTTCGGCATTCACCGCGAGTGTTGGTCACTGTGTAAAGCTATAGAATCTTTGCTGAATAAACTGGCTGATGAATCTAGCTTGGATAATGAACTAAGATCATCTCTTACATACTATGGACAGTATTTGAAAAAAATACGAACACAAAATCATCTGTTACCGATACAAACCTTCCGTTCTCCTTGGCTGGATTTCACCCTCATAGAAACTAATATACCAACAACGACACCGACAGAAGTTCAACAGCTATTGTGTTGGTTAGCTGTTAAAAATGAATGTTATTCTTTAGTTGAACTCGGTTCATGGTTAGGTGGTACGTCTGTACAGTTACTTCACGCTATTCGCCAACATAGTATGAATCCAATTTATTTCATCGCGCTCGATGGATTTTGTTGGCAGCAGTGGATGAACAATCATCTGAAGCCGTGGAAACAGCGAGCCGTTGGTCGTCAATTTCTGGAAGAATTCAAAGCTAACATCAATAAATTTATTAATATAGACACGAATACTGTGGCTATTCCAGTTCAACTAAATTACGATACAAGCACATGGCCTGAGTTGGCACATATTTTTACGAAACCTCTTGACCTTATTTATGTAGATATTAGTGATAATGAAAAAGAACTGGAAGAACTTTGGCAATCACTACAGCATCAATTAATACCTAATAAAACAATTATTGTTATTCATACATATGGGTTGGCTCAAGGCGTCTGTAGATTTGTCGAACAATACCTTAATGAATGGAAACCGCTATACAAACCAGCAACGTTTGCAAAAGCCTTCATTTTTCTTGGTAAAGCATCTGATATAACAGTTAAACAAGAATCACTCGTTCAAATCAAGAAGAAATTGAAATTTGCTGCCTTACCTTCTGACTGGAATCATCATCGAGCCGGTGGTTTTTGTGCCGTGATTGATATTGCTAAAAACCAGCTTCATCATGATTGTGCACCTACTCTGTTTATACCTACTGTTGAACAATACTTTTTCGAATGTGATTATCAGCTTCAAAAGCCATGGGTAGGTATTGTACACCAGGCACCTGTCTCCAATACTGTTTGGATGCCCGATGTTGAACGACTTTTGCATTCTCCTCAGTTTCTTGTTAGTCTTAATTTCTGCCGAGGACTCTTTGCATTATCTACATATTTATGTGATTACATAAAACTTCGATTACCAAAGAGTCTTTCGGTCGATATTCCTGTTAGTCGCCTTTTCTATCCGATCAGTGGAAGGATTCAAAAGTCAATAACGACGAATGCACGCTCATCAGTTGTGATGATCGGTGGTTATATGCGCGATATAGATGACTTTTTAAAGTTAGTTGTACCGAATAATTTCGAAAAGATCATATTATTAAATGAAACGGATAAAATTCGTCAAAAATATCTTCATGAATGTGCGTCTCAATTTAACATTAAGATTATAAATCGCTTATCAGATGAGGAATATGAGCAGCTGTTATTAACAAGTATTCCATTTCTTAGTCTAAAAAGTGATGGCATAGCATCGACACTTCTAATAGAATGTATATGGAGTTGTACTCCGATCATGGTTCGCCGTTTTCAATCAATGGAAGAATATCTTGGTCGTGACTATCCTCTATTTTTTGACTCTCTTGATCAGGCAGCAAGTCTACTTAGTTCCGATGTGAATAACAAGAATTATTTGCAATTAAGTGCAATGAATTATTTGGCTAATATGAATAAAGATCATCTGACGTCTGAAGCATTTATACGTTCAATAGCCAATAGTGCCTCATATTTGGCACTACCTGAGTCTCCTGAAACAGAGTTTCCAAGTGTTGACCTGACCATATGTATTTGTTCCTACCGACGAACAGAAGATCTTCTTCGCATCCTACGAGCCCTTCTATATGAACAAGACTTTAATGGAACTTTTGAAGTGATTCTGTGGAACAATGATTTTGACCGTCGTTCAGAAGTTGAACGAATATGCGGTCTTTTGAATAAACGCATTCGCATGATACATTCGAGTGATAACTACTATTGTATTGTACGTATGTGTATGCTTCATTTGATGAATAGTGAATGGTTATTAACTATTGATGATGATATGATACCTAGTGAACGGTTTCTGTCAACTTTTGTCGAACGACGTAATAATTATGGTGCGCGCGCTATACTTTGCTTACATGGTCATAAATTTCTACCGCATACTCTCAATGCAGAGAATCCTAAACTTGGCGGATGGGAATATGGAGTAAGCGTAGTTTTCATTGACGATAACCAGCCTCCTGACACGATTCATTTTGCCCATGCTGATGGTTGTCTTTTTCCAAGACAAGCTCTACGAGATGCAGTCAGCATTGATATGCCAACGAAAGAATTTATACTTGTTGACGATTATTGGTTATCGTTTGTCTTGAATCATTACTTTGGTTATCAGTTATGCAAAATTGCTGCATCTAACATGTATACTAAAACACCATCAGCGGATGATTCTACGATCGCACTGTATCTCAACCCGAAAGTAAGAGAGACGCGTATGAAACTGTATATTTATCATATGCTGAAGGGCTGGCCGCGTTTTAATATTTCTAAAGCTCCATCTATAGTGCACACGATGAAGACGGCAATTTGGCAAAGTTCATTCATTGGATATAACGTACCGATGTGTTTAACAGTTGCAGATATGCGTGATTTACAACACATGAATGTTCGAGTCGTTCGTCTTGGTGCTTGTTGTACGACTATCTGGGAAGATACTCAAGAGACTAACATATCCGATCTTGCATATCTTCTTCCGCAATGCATGGGATGTATTTCATCTTCCGCTTTACAACGACTTGTTTCCTATATTGATTTATTCAGCAAGCATAACATTCAAGTGATTCTAACACTTCATCGTCATCTAGCGTCCCCACAGATATGGCAACAATTAGCAGCCGTACTGGGTAAAATAAATAATGTAATAGGATACGACCTGATTAATGAACCATATACAGCATCTGATGAACAAAAGTGCGTCGATGATCTATTTCTAAGCGATCATTCATCAGATGATAATAAGTTAATGATTTATTATGCAGAGATTATTGATGCTATTCGACGTGAAGATAATAATACACCAGTTATTATTGAGTCATCCTTTTGGGCTAATTGGCGTGCTTTACATTTCTTGAAATTTGACCGTGGCCCACTTTCATTGCATGCTAATGACGCTGACCTTTTCAAAGTTTCGTTTCACATGTATGAGCCTCGATTGCTAACCACTCATCGTTTTAATCAGGGTCGATTCGCCTATCCTGGCATAGTACCTAACTATGATGGTCCATATGCTCTCTCTCAAGAATGGAATTCGTCACGTGTCAATTCTCTATTTGACGATATAGAGCTAATCATTACACAAGTACTTGGTTTGAAGTCGAAGCATCAAGTGTTGGTCGGAGAGTTAGGCATTTCCAGGAACGTTTCTGGAGCATCCGAATATCTTCGTGATCTACTAAGTGAATGCTACAAAAGAAATTGGAGTACTTGTCTTTATTCATTTCGTGAAAGCCATTGGAATCTTATGGACTATGAGTTGGGCGTTCATCAAGAAAATGAAAACAGAAAAATTAATGATAATCCTCTCATGGAAGCTATCAAAGAGTCTATCCAAAGAACAACTTAGTCTTTGAAACGATTTACAAAGATAACTTGGCTAAATTCTATAACTTATTGGATGCATGAATTTATTGGTAAAACCATTAATGAAACATTTTATAAAATTCTACAAGGAGTTATAACATTATTATACAACCATACTTCTTATATTCCTCATTAACACTTTAATCGATCGGATTTCCCTCATTTTAATTCAAATAAATGCGAATCATCGTAGCATTAATAATAAAGACGAAGACTAAAAACTAAAATGCAATAAACGTATCTGAGGATGAGGGCGTAGAAATTGAGTACTGCCGAGCTCAGAGATCCACACGACGCGTTCCGTCCTTGGTGAAGGGACTCATCAGTTATGTTTGAGGATGTGGGTGTGAGTAGGAGTGGCACTTTAACTTTACTTTAACCGTAAAGTTTAAAGTTTAAAGTTGTTTAAAGTCGCCTTTAAACGCTTATTTTTAATACTTTTTACTGTACTGACGTATTTAGTCATGCTTATGAGACTCTTTGCAACGGATGAAACGCCATAAAGAAGCATTTAAGCGTGACTTTAAACGACTTTAAACTCTGCACTTTACTGTCAGTTTAAAGTTAAAGTGCCACCCTAGCGTTATCTAGAACATTTTTCAATGGTTTTAAATGTTTCTGAAGAAAACATAATCTCATTCATGGACTTAGTCAGATAGTAAAACAATTTTATGAGATAAACCGATGAATCGGAATACAGTGTTTAACATACCAACTTGAACTTAGCTTTAATCGATCATGAAAACAAAAATTGTATATTTACTGAACTTTATCAACTTTTAGTTACATAAATCTCATAGAAGTAAATGGCTTGATTTTTCTACTTCTCTCTCAGTCGAATGACACTATTTTCACATATTTATTGCATTCGTTTATGTATATAAGTTGCATAGCTAAAGCTAGACATTTTTTTGTTCACGATATCGGATATGGACCAGATAATACATGTATTAAATGAAAATTACAGCACGGTAAACAAGCAATGTCACTATTACCTGTTCAATTTTGTAACGATACCAATAGTTTGAGAGAATCCTTTAACTTATGTAATCAAAAATGCTGTCCTTCACTCTTTATCGTTTTGGATTTATACATACAAGTTGAAGCTGGCACATCAATATCGTAGTTTTATTAGTATTGAATAAAATCAGTGCATAAGTTGCCCTCGTATCAATAGTATTTTCTTATTTAATACTAATACGAGTGACAATTGTCATTCTTTCCAACATATGCATTTATTGTTTTCGCGATTGACTGACTTTTAGTGCTATATAATATGCTCAATATAGATTTTCGAGCACAATTTCTTTTTTTACCATGACTACGACCTGAATCAATGATCTTCTTTCTTCAAACACGTTGGAAAACATTGAAAAATGTTCTAGATAACGCTATCAGTTAGTTGAGTATACAATATATTATACTGTTGCAAACTGCTGCAAAACTCAATTTTTCACTTGAATATAGATAAACGAAGTGATAGCTGATAAAATGCCTCATTTAGCTAATAGTTATTTTCGAAAGTAGAAACCAGTATACTGGTACTGGTGCATCCCTATATGCTGGGTCGTCGAGCGTTGTGGCGAACTGAAATCCTTGTAATACAGATAGATCGCCACTTTGAGGAATTGATATGAAATCAGTGCCCATGCCATTCCCGGGTTCAAACATGGGTGTGGGTGTGGTTTGGATAAAGATACAACACCCACCCACACCCTCAATGCTTCGACATCGCTTGTATTGATGCTGTAGATACACCATCGGCATGGTGTGTACAATTTTGGCATCTATTTCTTGTGCTTAGTGATTTCAACCTACAATCATAAAGAAAATTGTGGAATCTAGCATACGAGCAAACTGCATATCAATTATTCAGTGTTAAGCCTTCTTCACAAAGGATTCATTCAATTAGGTTACTATGTTTGGGTTTATCAAGAGGGATAAACTCGTCATATTTTTCATCTCTATATGAATCTACCTGGTGTATGTACATATTGCATAGGGATGAAATTCATTACTGTTGTCATTCAACGGAATTAATTCGAGAGCAATGACGAAAAATTTTTTAATTTGAAGAAGTTTATTGTAAAGAAATGTTATTAGCCTCGTTGATAACTGTGATTGAGGACGTATAGGGTTTGCCATATCAATGAAAAAACAAGCCCAACTAAATGCTGATTTGGTTTCCCCCATTCTTCTGCTATTGTCCTGTTTCACTTCTTTAGACTAACTCGGATCACTTGATAGTTTTCGATGTCGATCATATGAAGTCTATCAATTAATCGACGACAATCCTTTACGATAAATTAATTGAATCAGGCTATTGTCGACTGGCAGGGAAATAGAATGCAAAATAATTACTATCCATTGACAGGAGTATCCTCACCATAATCGCAAACTGAAAAATTTTGATTCTTGTCTCTTGGTTGATAATATTTGACTTCATGCTTTTCCATCTCAAGGATAGAGAGATTTTCTGGTCATCCACAGTCAATCTCTCACACAGTATGTCCTCAATGTAAATCATCCGATAATTCGAGTAATCACCAGTAAAAAGGCTTTGACCTTGATCAATGAAAGATATTTAGTATTATCAAATTCTTTATTGTAAGATCTATTAATTTCGTTTTTTCGCGAACGATAATCTAGTGTTTATAAATTTGTTGTTGAGGTAAGAAAGATAGACGATATCCTAGAGTTTTTATTCCTTTCAATGATTGGCTCAATAAAAAAATATCTACTAACAAATAATCATATGCCGTCAAAAGCTCGACTACTATGTGACTTGCTGTGAGTCGAGGAGATTATTTTCTGAGAGATGGAGCTCTCTTTGCGTTGCTTCCTGTATTAGAGCGTGCGGTTAGATGGGATGTGGGTGTGCATGATGGAGAGTAAGAGACCTATACCCACACCCACACACCGCACCCAAAGTTTAAATATAATTAATTTTTTGTTTAAACTTCTCGCGCACATTCTTCTTTGACCTGTTTGACTGTCTTGTCACAATATTGTTCTAGCTACAAAGAACTCCTAAAGATAAGATAAAATTTAAAGAAGTGAAAAGAGGTAGTAATGAATACCTTTAAATGTTTTCTTTTTGTTTCAATTAGTTATCATGATTGTGTATATTTTTATCGAAACGTACTTCCTTTTTAAGGGGCATATATTAGTAGTGTTCTCATTTGCATGAGTATATATTTTTTTCTTTCATTGCTTGATATTTCACTTCGAATCTAAAACTCGCATGAGAACACTTTTCATATTGTGAATTAGTCGCAATGATTAAATCCTCGTTAATACAGTCAAATTTTACCAACGTTTAGTTATACTAATACATGAATTTTTTCGATTATATGAACCCTAGACTGGAATCTATAGCATCATAATAATTGAGTAAGTGTGTTAACTTCTTCTTTTTTCAAATGAAAATTGATAAAACCTAGCGAATGCATTCCTGATTTAATGCAGCAAGTGATGATGAAAAGCTAAATATGACAGTTAAAATATTCACTCATTTATCATGTAGAATGAGTTAAAAGCGATGATTTTTAGTTTCTTTAGCGAAGATTTTACTGAGTTTCTAGAAGTTCTGCATGCATTTACCTCAGTGTGATAGAAGTAGTTACGCAAACCATCGTCCAGTGAGAGTTTTTCTAGGTGAAATAATGTGTAAACATTCATTTGAAAATTTGAAAACTCTTGTATACTTAGGTGTCTGACGACTTACTACTACTATTAGAAATACAGGGAGATGCGCTGATAGAAATATCAAATATCGTCTTTGTTCAAGGTAATCATCACTCATACGTTGACAGTTTGCCTGAGAGATTGCTGAATATGTAATTCTGACACTGTATAAATGTATTGAGCATTCACCAGCTGTTGCGAAGTGTAGAGAAAATTCTCGCTTTTAGCACACAGTAGTATTTTTTATATCTGCGAGCAAAGATAGTAAACTTATATTTAGAAAACACATCACATATTTGGATTCTAGACAAAAACTGTTTCTCTGATCATATTAGTTTGTTTTAGAGTGAACTATTGGATCAACGAACTGAAGTCATGCCACTGTCCACACGTGGAAAATATTTATATAACATGTATTTTAAGACTGCATTGATTACTTATATAGTGTTAGCTGTATCGATCTATGTTATCATATTTTGTCTAGGAAAATACTGGTGCAAGTTGTTCTATTGGATTATTGAGGGACTATTTGAGATAAAAGTAAGCAATATCGATGAAAACGAAGAGCATACTGAAAACATCGAGACAGTGGCACAGCCAAATGCTAACGAATCTGTTGAATCACCAAATAAAACACCAAGGAGCAAAGTATTGATAGACTTTTATGGTAAAAAGATTGCGTTTGAAAATAAATTTTTCTCGTCGGTGAAATCATCCTTACTCTTTTTGAGTGCAATCGTCCTGAACTCTGTATCATTTATATTCATTATTAGATTCATTATACCAGTGAGCACTAAAATAGGGAATGGCTATTGTCCGCCATACGATGTTACAGATTGTTTTAAGTTCACGCTGGGACAAGATCAACCGGACAGCTATATTCCGTGCTATGCTGAAGAGAAAGTAAACACAACATTTAATAGTACCATTGTGTGTTATTGGTGGGCCTGGAAGAATTATGATGTAATTGACTTTATTGAACGGATTGGAGTGTGTTTTTCCGTACTATATGTACTTAAATACTATATAAAATTGGTTCTTGTAGTCAACTTATTTGCCAATGAACGCCATAAAGGTATTGCTGCAGGTTTGTTTGTTAAATTGACCTCTATTATGGGACTACATCATTCCATAATGAGACATCAACAAGATCCAAGCATGTTTAAACGTCCTTACTTACGATTCGCAGTTCTTATCTTTAATTTATCGATATCTATTTTGTTTGTTGTACTTTTCATTCTACACAGCTTGCAAATAATAGGCATACCAAGTACAGTTATCATGCTATTGCTTAAC